AACAAGTTCTTACATGGTGAACGAATTCTTACATAGTGAATAAGTTCTTACATGGTGAACAGTACAAGGGCAGTCATCACAGAAACTTTCGGTTTTGATCACGCATTATGAATTATAAACAATCAGGTCAAATATGAATATTCGTTTGATTTTTATACTTGTAAAATCAAAGTTTTACACACTCATTAGGTAAAACTTGGGGTGAGGGGAGATAACCGCAGAAAGTTTTTAAATAACTATGAAAACAAGTTGCAAGATATATACACCCAAAGAACAGGAAACAGTGTTCAAACAAAGACGTGTACACCCTGTTCACAGCAGCATTATTCACCACAGCAAAGAGGCTAACAGCCATCTGACGAGATGAATGGGTGGAGACTCCACTGGACTATTATTCAGGCTTAAAAAGGAGTGAAGTCCTGACACATAATACCAGTGGGGATGGGCCTTGAAAACATACTGAGTAGAAGAAGCCAGATACAAAAGGCCATGTAATATATGAAATGTCCAGAATAAGCAAAGCATGGAGAGGAGAGCCGACTGGCCGGTGCTGGGGGCTGGGAGGAGGGGGCACAGACAAGTGCCTGCTGAGGGGTGTGGAGCTTCTGTTTGGAGTGATGGGAGAGTTTTGGAGTGGATGGTGGTGACGGTGGCACAATCATGTACTTTCTGAATGTACTTACTGCCACTGAATTGGATACTTGGGAATGGTTAAAATGGTCAATTTTATGTCATGAAAAACATGTTACTTTATTCAGCCTTATAAAAAGGAATTCTGACAGAATCTTACAATACGGATGGACCTTGACGATACTAAGTAAAATACGCTAGTTAAAAGACAAATACTGCATGACTCCCTTTAGAGGAGGTGCCTAGGGTAGCTGATTCATAGAAACAGAAAATGGACTAGTGTTTTCTAGGGGCTGGAGCAAGCGGGGAAGGGGCCATTAATGTACATTTGAGTTTCACGGTATCAGGAGTTCCAGAGAGAGACGGTGGTGATGTCTTCACAGCATATGACTGTACTTAATACCACTGAGGTGTACACTTAAAGATGAATGAGATGGTACATTTTATGTGTCTTTTACCAAAAAATGGTTTTGAATTTTTTTTTAATTACCCCCCCAAAAAATCACTGAACAGTATGTAAAGTATGACCTATTTGACAATGATATGATGGATAGATAGGTAGATTAGAGAGAGAGAGAGAGAGAGAGAAATGTCTGGGAGGAAACACACTGATTGTTATAGAGGCTCCCTCTATAGAACAAGACAGGGAGAGGGGATGGGCAGAGGACTTTGACTTTGCACCTTTACAGACCTCTGAAGGCTTTGATTTTGTTGTTGTTTTTTTAGTGAATATGAACTATTTTTGGTCTCATGAAATTAACCTGCCAGTATTACATGCATTGGCCACTTTGCAGTCAGTTGCTTTTTTTAACCACAGTTATAGTCTCTGCCCTCTCGCAAATTAAATCTCCAACATAAGGATTCCAAACAGCCCCCTGTGCTGACAGCATGCAGAGCAACCACGGCTAATGGTTTGCTCCGTTTCTTCCCATCCTGGGTCCATCTGTTTTTACCTGGTTATTTGCAGGTTCAACTAATTATGCTTTATTCCCTTATCACAACATCACAAGGACTTTCCCCGGGTCATTACAAAGCTATCTTTAAAATCATGGTTTATGACCCAGGGACAGACACACGCACCCAGAGTACTCCCTGGACACAGAACACCAACACAGACCCTGAGGAAGACACAAAATAAGATTGGGGGGGGAGGGTCCTTCCATTTTGGGGGGCTAAATGCCCAAACCTAAAAAACTATGCCCTTAATTTACATTAAGACTTGGAAGAGAATATATAAAACTTGTTCCTGTTTTTTAATCTTTGTAGGAATGCAGTTGTGGAAACCATCACTGTTATCACACTGTCCCCTTTAAGACAACTGAGGGAAGACAACTCATCATTCTCGGCTTCTGTCTCAGGAATACCAAACCCGGTGGGTCCCCGAGTGACTCTGTCTTACCCCATCTTGTCTCGGATGCTGGAAAGCACAAAGTCACGCTGGCAGCAAGCATGCAGGACCCCCCAGGATGCATCTCTAATTCCGAACGTGCTCCTTTTCTTCTTTCCCTGCATTTCCAGTCCCTCTCTCTCTATTTTATTCTACTACATCATTTGTACTCCTTCAGCTATCTCAAATCCTTTTATGGAATCAAAGAAGGCATTTAGTCATAGGCAGTGGGATTCGGGAGATATTTATGCCTTCTGACCCAGTCATTTCCTAAGGAAATAAGTGAAGTCAAAAGCCCCTATATAAAGACATCAATGGTCATATGAGCCAAAAATTGGGTATCACCGAAATGGCCAGGGTTAGGGAAATGATTAGTGAGGGCATATCACTAAGACAGAACATTAGAAAGCCATTTAAACCAGTGCCAATGAAGCCTGTGCAGATGTGGAGAAATGTTCCAGGGATAACGGGAGAAGAGAAAAGCAGACCGCACCTGTGGGCCAAGACCCAAAGGTAAGATTAGGCAGAAACGAGATGGCAGCGTCAGGCTCGCAGAATTCTGCATGATTTTCTTTTAAGGTGTCATATTTTCTGTCCTTCTAGTTTTAAAATCCAAAGTCCCCAGAAGCAGCGGCAGGCCTAGAACACACAGGGGCAGAGCAGGACTTGGTCCACAGAGCTCGACAGAGCCCCAGGGCAGTGGCACTGCAGGAGGCCTCCTGGGATGAGTCCCATGGAAGGACGGCATACTGCAGGGCCCGACAGGCCATTCTGGAAAGAAGGCAACTAAAAAGAGCTTCAGTAAAAGGCAGACAGAGAGCAGAGCATCCCAGAAATTCCTTAGTGATCAGTTTGTAGAGCAGGTAACTATGACCCAGACCCCAGCGTGAGAAGGGAGGGCAGTCCTGGTGGGAGAAGCAGCCAGTGTCAGGCAGGCCCCTGGGCAGGAGAGCAAGCTGGACCTATGATGGGAAATAGCAAGGAGGGTGGCAGGTCATGGTGCACCCAGGAAGCTGGGATCTCATCTGCAGGGGACAAAGACAAGACAGAGATGGTTCTGGCAATTCCATACTAAAAACCGCCAGCATCTATTACCTCTCAGCCTGTACAGCTGACTTAGAAACTTGGTAATTTGTCCGTGTTCTCACAGCTAATGTGTAGAGGCCAGGATTCTGCCTGAGCAGAAGGACCACCATGAAAACACAGAAGACAACAGGATCTGAGAGTGGAATACAGAGAAAGGGGAGAGCAGGTCAGACAGGGTGCTAGCTGTGTCGCCATTCATGCCATCCTCATTCGATGATTCTCATGTGAAGGCCTCGCCTACAGGGTCATGCATTTTCTGCACAGCTTTGTTCTGAAGGGGACTCATTAATTCAAAGCCCCTTGTAAGGCAAGGTTAACTTTCCCCTAAGAATCAATATGCAGCAGGTGGAGGAGCTATTCCCTCGGCTCAGAAAATTCACACCCACTGTAGCACATTGTTCTTCTGCCTCATCACATGATCTCTGAAGTCTGGAAAGGCTGCCCCAAAATTAACAGCTCACCCTAAAAGAGGCCACTCAGGTATGGCCAAGTGTGTCACACCATGTCACGTATCACCACACTCCCAGGCATGCCAACACCGTTACTGACTTTGACGCATGTTGTTCTGCCCTGGTGCCCGCGCTACTTCTTAATGAAGGGGTAGATGACATGGTAGAGGATTGTTTAATTTTTCTAAATTGTAAGAACAGTGAATTTTCAAATAGCAACCGAAGAGTTGCCAAAATCCAGCACAGATATGCAGATGCATGTAAACAACAGGACAACAACAGGCAAGGGACAGCAACACAGAGTATGGATATTTCTGTATTTCTTTTCTCAGCTGACGTGCCGCCTCCGTGTGGCCATAGCATTAAACGCATGATTGCACAGCCTGCCAGGGGCTGAGCAGGGACCCGAATTCCAAAGGAGCGTCTTAATCTCTGCATTCCAGCCTTGAACTCTTGCTGCTCCCAATGGGCTGTTGTGGTTTTATTTTTAATGGCAGGTGTCTATATTATTTCAAATATTGCTCACAGATATTTTTATATGGTCTTATTTCAAATTCAAGTAATTAGAATCCATGTAAAATACAATCATACTATGAGCTTTGTGCCAGCCTGGGGACCCAAGCTGTAGGTAGACGGGCTGGCCCTGCACTCAGAGAGCTGACCAGGGGATGAGGTCCTCTGGATCTGAGGAGCAGATGCTATATCAAGGGAAGAACTGGGCTGCATGAGCGCCAGGCCAGCTAACCCTGACTTTGTACAAGGAAGAGGGTCTTTAGGGAAGACTTCCTGGAGGTGGTGACAATGAGTGAGAACCAGGAGGATGGATGATTAAGAGCTGGCCAGGAGACAAGGCAGAGGAATGGTACATGGCAGGCTGAGGAACAAGCCAGAGACTATGACATCCTGGAAAGGTTGTGGGAGTCCAAGTGGCCTTGGCCAGATCACCAAGGGCATTGCAGGCCCTGCTAAGGAGTCCAAAGAGTGACACCACAAAGATGCCCCCTGCCGCTGAGAACAGACATGGGCGACACGGGGCCAGAAGGCTGACTCCCTGCAACTTCCCCTGGAAGCCCGCGTCCCAGCTCCACTCCAATCCTAATTGCCTTGCCCATTTCACCTTTCATTTGGGTCACAGAAGGAAGGACCCTATGCTTCAGAGTAAGAACAATGCTCACAATCTGGATCATACGAAAAAAGATGAGTTAGAAAGGATTTTTACAACCCCCAAAGCAGCAGCCTCTCCCCCTTCCTATTATCATTACTCTGAGCAACTGTCCTGGTGGCTGGGAGACAGGGAAGGGGACGCATGTCACACTAGGTCCTCTGGGGTCAGGGGAAGGGGGAGGCCAGGTGTGCAGTTATGAAAATGAACCCAGCACCATGTTAAGTGGTATACACACACTGATCTGTACACTAGCTACCATCACAGTAATGCTATGTCGTGGGCTCTGTTATTATCTCCACCTGCCAATACTTCTAGAGATGAACTGGCTCATGGCTGTACGGGGAGAAAATAGCTGAGCCAGGATTTAGCCAGTGTTCTTAGTCATTCATGGCCAAGCAATGGGCCTGGATCATAATAGTGATTCAATATAGTTCCAGGCAAATTATAAATTCCAGGATGCAAAGACCCTGTCTGTCCTGTTTCTCAGCAACTAACACAGTCTGGTGAATACAGCAGGTGCTCAGTAAGCCCTTTTCAGACCCATCATGTGACCAGAGCCTGCTCTCCTAGACAACCCACCCCCTCACCCCAGCCCTGCCACCATGGAACAATATGGGACAGATGATCATGTGCAGAAGAGCATGCCACAGGTGCCCATGTTTCAGGCCATTGGCACATATGACCCACCTCAGGCAGGCTGGACAGCATTATGCTATGACAATGCCCACTTCTCTGGCAGATCAGGCCAATGGAGGAGGGACTGATAGGCTTTCCAGACATCCCAGCCCCTGGGGAGCCTGGGGCAGAGGGGATTCCCTGGGACAGAATTCCCACTGTTTCCCACCTCTGCCACCCTGTCCCACAATCCAGGACACACACTGTTCTCTCTTCCCTCTTTTTTTATTTTATAAGGAAACCAGGTAACAGTGAAGTAGGGGTTGGGTTGAAAGTCAGAGCATATGGCAAAACAACAAACAGTCCAAATAATCCTAAAAAATTACAGAAGTCCCAGTACCTGGGCCTTAGGAATTCCAGTAGTTAATTCAGATCTGGCCTCCCTTCTCTGGGATAGGCCAAAGGGGTCTAGATGATAGAGGTCGGGGTAATGATAATAAGGAGAATGAAAGCAGATTTTTTTTCTCTCTCTGCTTTATTTATTTTCACCAAGCCTCTGGAGTTGAAGTTGCCAAAGAACAAGGAGCCTCTGATGCTATCACACAGTGAGATGGGAGATCTGACCTCGCAAGGCTGGAAAAAGCTAAAGCCTCCTCTAGCTAGAGGCAGGTGCTGCCACTTGGACAACAGTGACCCTGTTTGGGACCCCCTGGCCACCTGGAGAGACCCCTTGGACATCATGAGGGGCTGGTGGTGGAGGAAGCGGGCAGCAGCTCCTTCCCCACTAGTTTCATCTGCAAGGAGGCTGAGGTCTGCTTACCTCCACCGCAGGCCTGGATGAAAAAGAGCTTGGGCTTCCCTCCCAAGCTGGGGCAGTGGGCTCCATTGAAGATCTTCACAATTTTCTCAATGGACACAGAACATCCATCTGTGCCATAAACGGCCCCTGGGAGCTGGCGGTGGCTGGCCTAGAAAACCAAGAATCTTGGTTATAAAATGAAGAAGCTGAGGTAGGAATCCACCAGCCTGTTCAGAGGCTTTGTGGGGACCGAGCATTTAGAAGGTCCCAGCCAAGGGCCTGAAGCTGATTGAGACAGGGCAGGTTAGCTCTGGGTGGGCCGTGGTCAACATCGATTGTAAGGGCCTCAAACTCACGTGCTTATAGGGGCCAAGCAGCCTGAGAGCACTGGCCACCTTCTTTTAGATCGGGGGTCCGCAAAGGGTGGTCCCCGGGCCAGCAGCATCCATCAGCATTACCTGGGAACCTGGAAGGCATGCCAGTTCCTGGGCCCCACCCAGACTCCTAAACCAGAAGCTCTGGTCACGGGGGCCAGTACTCTGGTCCTTCAGGCACCTCTGAAGCAGCTAGATGTTGAGAACCTCTGCTGGATCAATTCTTCTCAAACTCTACGTGCAGGGGACCCTGTGAATGTGCAGGCCCTGGACGAAGAGGTCAGGGGTGGGGCCTGAATCTGCATTTCTCGAGCTCCCAGGTGGTGCCCATACTGCCAGTCCAGGGGCCACACCATGACTAAAAGGACCGAAGGGGCTGCCCCTGCCCAGCTACAGGTCAGGGTTCTGCTCTGTGAGGATGCTGGTCTGGCAAGGCCAGACTTCTGTGGTTTCTCAAGAGAAGCTGGAAATCTTGATTTTTATGTAAAAGTTGCCAGCATTGAAAACACTGTGCAACCCACAGAGGAACCATAGGCCCCCCAGCTTGTAACTTTCTGATCTGTCCAACCCCTCAACTTAAAAGGTGAGGAAACTGTGGCCCAGGAAGGGGCGGGGCTTGGCCGCAAGGACCCAGCATGTTAATGGCCAAGCCCAGAGTGCCAACTCCCAGCCAGAGGCCAAGGCCCGCAACACCGCCCAGCAGGACCCAGGCAGGAGCTGGAGGCTCCCGTGGGCAGTACCAAGCTCTGAACAAAGACTGCGGGGAGGAGTTTTGTGAGCACAGCCTGTCTCCTCCCTGCCTCTCCCAGATGGCTTCTCCCAAGAACACCGTCCCACCCAAGAGCAGCATCCAACTCCTCAGAGGACCAGAATGCTCCAGGGAAACAACAGCAGGTGGGCAGGGCCCCACGGCTCTTCCCACAAGGCTGGGGTGACCTGGACCCAGCAAGGGACGGGGCTCTGCTCAGCCTCTGGGCGCAGCCTGCCCAGACACCTGCCCGAGTTGCTGGGGCCTCCTACCTCACAGCCATGAGAGAGGATGACCACCACGCAGCAGTCCAGAGCGCTGTGGTCCTGCCGCGCCAGCTCCACGAAAGCCTGGACCATTTGCTACAAGAGAAAGTGCAGGTGAGCCAGGACACCGGGGGGCTCAGGTCGCCAGCCTAGGCCCACCCAAGGGCCTGGGCAGAGCCCTTTTCCTGCTTCCTGGGCCAGACCAAAGCAATGACAGGTGTAACAGTCCCAGTGGCCACCATTCTTGGGGAAGAGGTGCTGTGCCTGGGTGCTGTTACTTCATCGTCAAGACGCCCCGAGGAGGTGAGCGCTATTCTTGCCATCTAGACAGGAAACTAAGGATCAGGGGTCGCACAGCGGGTAGTGGGAGAGCCAGGCCTCCCCCCAGGTGTCTGAGTCTGAAGCTTGGACTATTAACAACTGAGTCACACCACCTCTCATGGTCCCACATGGACTCCCTAAGGGAGTCGCTAGCTTTCGGGGCCTCTCGCAGGACACTGCCCCGGCCTGCCCCCCCATCCCTCTCCACCAACAGTGACTGTACCTGGGCAGTTAGGTCATATTCCACCTCCACCATGAAATGCAAGGACCTGAAGCATCGCTGCAACTTCTCACAGTCGATATTGGAGCCAGTGCGCGGGCTGAGCCCCGAACTGAGGCTGAAGTTCACGTTGTTGATAATGAGGCAGAGGCCACAGGGGTCCACATTCAGGACGTATGACTGCCCAGGCAGAGGGAGCAATGTAACCTGAAGTCTCACTGCCCTCCTCAGGAGGGAAGGTGACCCCCTGCTTTTCACATGTGCAGTGGGCATTCTGGGGAGGTGGGATGGGTAATGGGGTCTGCTCTCTCTCTGCAGGAGTAGCAGCTTCTATACCTAGCATTCCAGGGTAGAAGCAAACAGACTGCAAACCAGCTGGATGAATCCTGGCTGTGTGGCATAAGAATAGCTAAGAGAAGATCGGTTCCCATGGTGGCATTCAAGGATAGGAGTTGTTAGCTTAGAAATCCAACAACCTTCAACATTCACCCCAAAACAACCTTACAGATCGTCCAGTACAGGGGAGCGGGTGGCTGTGTTGGCAGACCTGTGCTCAGCCCACCTGCAGAGCGCTGACGTCTCCTTCGGAATTCTCTCCCAGGAGGCTGTTCATTTTGTTATATAGTATTCAACACTATGCAGAGTTATTTTTTTATTGGTATAACTAGTCTCTGCAAGGCTGAGGGCTCCATGAGGGCCAGAAACATGAG